ACTCGATGCCGGAATCCAGGTATCAAACTTACTGGGATAACCACGCCAGCTAACTAGCACTTGCTTATTAGCTCCTCGCCCTCTACTCTTTATAACGCGATCAATATCACGATAAATTGTTCTTCCTCTAGGTTCTTCTCAACTCGAGCTAATTCTTGCTCATAAAAAATACCGTCTATGATGTCGTCTGCTAAATCTCGCAGCTCGTACACGTGAGGATTTCGCCAATCGAGAACACGATAAATTTGAAATATTTCCTCGCTCCATTAAGCCTTGTAATCTTTCTCGAAGGCTGCTTTCGCCCTACTGATATGAACGAGATCTCCAACGCGATATTTAATCTTTTGCGTTCGTTTCTTTAATATGTCGTTTTCAACGACGTGATATATTTTCACGTGCGATTTCTCTCGTTACTACCGCAGATTGCATTCTCGCGGACGAGTGACGCTTGTGATTGTAAGCACATACAACATCCTGTAGAACATCGACGTAGCGTCGCGTATTTTTATGCATGAAATAACGCCACATTCGCTCCTTCAGTGTTCTATTGAAGCGCTCGATAATGGCGGCTTTAATGTCCGGATTGCGTGTTACTCGAAAACGAATATCGTTTTCTTTAAGAAATTTTTGCATTGGGTGCGCGACAAATTCTTTACCCTTGTACGTTTGTAAGTATACAGGTACTCGTCCTTCGCTTTTTGCTAATACGCGTTGAAAAGCTTTTATCACGCTGTTGCTCGTTTTGTCACGTAGCGGTTCTACCCAGACATATTTGCTTAATACATTGATAATTTCTAACAGCTAGGAATAACCATCGTTGTAACTTTTCAGATTTCGGAGTTCGATCAAATCTGCCTCCCACACATCGTCAATGTTTGTCACGTTGTAATGTACTCGCGGAAATTTTCTGTACAATGGCCTGTGCAACGTGTACGCTTCTTGCGATTTGAGCCAGCGTACGATTTCTCCCCGTGAGAAATTCGGTTTAACGGCGCGAGTTAGATTATCCACCGCCGAATAACCCGCATAATTCGACGGATCGTAGTATAGTTTTTCAAACGTCATCGTTATCGTAATTTTTTCCAACCGGCTTTTCCCTGTTTGTAAAAATACGGGTGTATCAGTTTTTCGTGTGCGAGAAAAAATCAGCGAGCTTTCCTCTATTTCTTGTTCGTAATTTTTACGTTTTTCTCCTTCCTCGGGCTCTCGATACAATCGACGTGGAACTAGCTCTTTCGATGTAACAGATGTGGAACTTGCTCGCGGTCGAAGTTTTACGATGTTTACAGCATCAGCGTGCGCGGACAATAAACTTTTATTTCTCATCAGTGTAGAAGGTATGTTCAACACACGGAGTAATCGTGCAAACTGATTTCTACCCACTGCTTTTACAGTTTTTCTCTCGCGCATTGCATCGTTTATTAAGTCAGTGATATTCGAATCTTTCACGACGTTACCATCTATAGTCACGATTCCATGCTCGTCCCAACTAAATCTATCGAGCATAGCTTTTCGAAGCAAATGTTTCATCAGTAAGTGTGCTTACGATAAGATTTCGGCTTTCCAATATTTCTTCGATGCTTTTCATCGTATGATTATGCTCGCTCGAAATTTCGAAATTTTTCGCTGTAACATCTGTGTTACTAATGGAATGTGATGGCGGTAGTATATCGGATGTTTGCGTGAGATCGTGAAAAACGTTCGTCTCGTTATCATCGGAGGCATCTCGTAGCGTTGTCTTCTACATTTTTGTTTTCGTTATGTACATCTTTCTGTTTATGTACGTCTTCGCGTTTCTCAGATAAACCGTATCGCCATAATGCTTCTCTGTACATTTTCCACCTCTCGCTTTCGTCACGAGGCCATCTGGAATTGAGAATACGACTCATCTCCGCATCGAGTCGTGTTAGATGAGTTCCCGGGGTTTGCGTTGCGTTATTAGAACTCAAGGCGTTATCCGAATTTTGCGGTTCTGCTATTTCTTTTGACTCTCCGTCAACGAACGATGTCGGATTCTAACGTAGCTGATGTTGCATTCTCTCCAGATTTTCCGTCGAAATTAAAACCATTTTTTTAGCTCTCTCCATAACGTTTTATCTCTACTATTTCGTTCCTTCGATAATTAGTGATAATAAGGTCGATAATATAGGTCCGATAATATAGGGTAAAAATCCATCTCGCTGCACCAACAGCTTTCTTCTATCCTTCCAATTACCGCGTTTTGCAATGACGCGACGCAGAGCTTTTTTGTATTTGGTTAATTACGGTTTTTTTCACTCCGTTCGAGCGAGACGTTACCTTTGAGTGTATTAAAACACATTCACAGATACAACGAATTAGTTTCTCAGCGCTACGTAAGGAGGTTGTGCGTTGATTTTTGTTCAAATGATAGAGCGCCGCAAGGAGACAGGCGTTTTTCTTACTGATCGAATGTGTGGCGATTTTCGTCGCTCTGTGCGATTTTACGTCACCGACCTTCATCGCGAGAAAAATCTGCAACTGATACATACGATTAGCCGTACTCAACTTTTATACGTATCCGCTGAAAAATGATCTACGCGGCACATAGACGTAATGAAACGTATCCTCGGGAAAAATACACGTTCGAAATCGATACTCGTCCGAAGTTGATTGTTTCAGATCGAGCAACAAATACCCGTGAGGCCTCGATGTGGCGTCGTAGTATGCCTCTTCTAGAAATTTCGAATCTCGTGGATTTTTGAAAACGACGATGTAATTCGCGTTAAGCGATATATCACGCTGCCCACGCCCCTGGTGGAATAGACCCTGCGAGATAAGAATAACACTCTCACATTCTTGCGATGACTGCCTTTGGTAAAAAGATCCATGATCGCGTCGCACGACGACGATTCTCTCATAAAATCGTCGATTATCACTAATTTCGGAGAAAGCGGATCGTTCGAATAATCTTCCGGACGGAGTAATCCCTCGCGAAATTCAATTATATTCTTCTTCTTCGCCGTTTTAGTATTGCTGCATCCCCAGCGCTGTTCTTTTACACGCGTATCGTATTGTAATCGACGATAGGCTTCTTGCCATTCCGCCTAATAAAACAAAATTCTCTCGAAGCACACGTCGGACATGAGATATAAATGCCTGAGAAAAGCCTTTACAAAGACTGTCTTCCCAAAACCAATCGGTCCGCATATGATCGACGTTCAAGGATGTTTTCAACGCACGAAATGAGCAAACGGTCTTCGTGCGCGACTTCAAAAGCAAAAAGAAAAAACATTATTTTTGTTGATTTCTAGAACTCGTGAAAAAAATAATTTTAAGAGAAGATAAGCTGATCAACGCGACGGCAGGACCCCCTTTACGCGACGGACGAGTGCTCGTGCCAGTGTACCCTCGCGTGAGCTTGTCAGCGAAGAGCACCGCGGCTGGCGAAAAGCTGAACTCACCGCGACGCGACGCGCATAAGCTTATCTTCGCGCGCGTCAAAGAGATTTGCGATCGGCGTATATTTCTATCGTTAAGTGAGTACGCGACATCGCCGTCGATAAGCTTACCGATGTCACTATCGCGATGTCGCTGCGAGGGAAAGCTTTCGTAGAAATCGGAAAGGTTGGTTAGAATTAAGTAATAAATCACTTCTTGTTTTCCTTCAAGTAAAAAAATATTTTTATTCGATACTTTTCTTAAAAAAAGAGGAAAGGAGAAAAGAAAACATATGTAATTTTAAATTTTTATGTTGTTTATATTTTTGCTAACTCTTATATATAAAATTTAATTATTTTTAGAAACAATATAATACATTTTTATTATAATTAAATATTTACATTTTTATATTTTTACATTTTTACATTAAATTATTTGATACAATTTTAATAAAATGCTTTTTTCGCAAAAAAGAGATACTTAGACTATTTATTATTTACAAAAAAAAATTTTAATTTATGTTTTTCTTACATAATGCTTAAATACTATGCGAATAAGCGGAAAACTCACGATTAAAATATAAGTGAGAGAAAGAAAAAGAAAAAGAAGACGTTATTCTCTTCTGAAGCCATACGGAAGGGAATAACGATTATTAATAAATTTACGTTTTACCAATACCGGTGCGCACGTCTTCGTTTCGTTTCGCGTTACGATTTCGTGAAACGCCGTGCGATGAATTGCGCTAAAACGCAAATTTTATTTTATATTGCTACTCCGCCCGTTTCTTCTTCTTCTTCATCGCGTCTTTCTCTCTCATTATCTATTATTAATTTCCTAATACTATTAAAATTTATAATACACGAGTTCTTATAATTTAACGTTATTCCCTTAACTCTACAGATCTCGTATCGGCGACCTTCCGGTGTACGAACGACGTACGCGTAGAATGTCGGACCTCCGGACACGAACAACTCGATAAAACTGCCCCGACCGTAGCTCTCGAGCTCGTCCGTCATATCGCCCAGAAAATTCCCCGTACGCGGCTCGTACTCGCTCGGTTCGCCTCTGTTTACATAGATACACGAGTCTGTATTACAATATAAAACGCGACTACCTAATTTCTTTAAATATTTATATAATATTAGTCGCGCTTGTGCCGTCGTCCAACCCGCGATTATCGGATTGGTTTGCGGAGAAGGAGCGACCGTCTCTTCGCGTAGTCGTCATGAAACATATTGTGGAATGCGCGGTTCGCGCCCAAGAGACACGCGTAACCCGCGTGCAAGGCATCGCGGGAGCGTTTCCGTTCACGTGTTCGGCCGTTAGCTTTAGTCTTTGTTTCCCCCGTTTGCGCTCATTGTGCCGTGCGCCGCGATACGCGAACAAAGCGAGACTAGACGAGGTTATAGTTTGTAGTGAGAGTCAGTGGATTGCGTTGTCGAACAAAGAGCGTGCATATTCACCGAACAGTATTTGAGTGTCTTATTCTTCTTCCTGCGATCCATCAATTTGGCGCAACAACATTCTGGGGACCGTGACAGGACTTCGAGGCTTCACGTTGTTGGCCATTACGCAGCAAGTAAAGATTTACAGAAGAAGTCATGGACAGAGTGAAGCTCGCACAAAAAGTAACGCGCATTGCGTTTACGAGGGCATACGCTGTTTTCCAAGCGGAAAAGGCGAGGCAACCGCTGGACATAACCTCGCTACAAGTCGCGTACGCGCTGGTGCAAGATAAAGCAAGCGAACTCAAGGAGTTGAGCCTGAAACTACGGAACTTGATGATCCAAGCCGAAGAATCCGAAGAAGCCCTCTGCCGAGAAATAGAGCATGCGGACGAATATGCAGCGAAGTATCATCAAGCGAAATTTGAGGTAACCGGATTGATTGAGAGGCAAGAAGCTCACGAGTCCACGCTGCCGGCACAGTCTCCATCTCGACGGTCGTATTCTGCACTCGCGATGACACAGGAAAGTATGCGCACACTAAAATTACCAAAGATTGAATTAAGAAAATTTGGAGGCGATATTAAAGATTGGCTACCGTTTTGGGGGACGTTTAAGAAAATTCACGTGAATCCAGAATTGGCTAAAGAAGATAAATTTCATTATTTAGTACAGTCTATGGAAACGGGTTCGCGTGCATGTGAAGTAGTAAGTAGTTTCCCGCCAACGGCGGAGAATTATGAGAAAGCCATACAGAGCCTCGAGTCACGTTTTGGCAAGAAAGAATTGTTGATTGAATTTTACGTGCGTGAACTTTTAAAGTTAGTTTTGAATAAGAGTAAAAAGGTGTCGCTTGCGACGATTTATGATAAATTAGAAACGCATATGCGATCGCTTGAGACTCTAGATGTAACAACAGATATGTGTGCGGCGATGTTATTTCCGTTGGTAGAATCTGCGCTGCCAGAAGAAACTTTGCGAACGTGGCAACGAGTAATGACGTCGTCAACGCTGCAAACAGATACATCTAGTATAAATCGCACAGCCAAGGATCGTCTTATTAATTTGATGTCTTTTCTAGGAAGAGAGGTTGAGAACGAAGAGCGTATTCTAATGGCTAAGACATGTTTCGAGAGTAGCGATACCCAGGCATCTAAAGATAAAGATAAGAAGAGAACGAGATGCGATCAAGGTCAAGGAGTAGCTACAGCAGCTGGTTTATTATCCGTGAAAGAATCCAAGGCACAACCATGTTTGTTCTGTGGAGAGAAACATCATAGTTCGAGTTGTGAAAAGGCGAAAGGCATGGATATGGACGAGAGATCTAAGATCGTTAAAGAAAAAAATGGCTGTTTCAAATGTCTAAAGGTAGGACATAGCTATAAGAAATGTTACAGCAAAGAAAAATGTCCCTGGTGCAGTAAAGGACACTGCCTCTTGATGTGCCGAAATCTTTCGAGTAATAGCGGCCAGAAATCGGTTGATGAGAGGCCCAACGGTTCAAAATTCAACGAGGGAAATAGTTGTTTGGCTAATATTTCAAGTGCCAAAATATTTTTACCTATACTGAAGATCAGGATGCGTGGACCGAGAGAAAGTGTATCTGTTCGTGCCATTGTAGATACAGGCTCACACAGATCCTACATTTTGAAGAGGTTAGCAAGGGATCTAGGATACGAAGCAGAAGGTGAGCAAACGATGGTGCATTTACTTTTTGGAGGAACGAAGACTAAGCCTCAAAAACACAAAAGCTATCGGATCCACATTGATAACTTGGAAGGAACGTATAAGTGTGATTTTATAGCCTTACAACAAGACACTATTTGCCAAGATGTTCCCAACATAGGCACCGGCTTGTGGACGGAGGCGCTTAAAGAGAAGAATGTCCATCTAAGCGACACCGGTGAAAGTAGAGAGTCTATTTCTTTGTTGATCGGAGCGGACGTTGCGGGCAAGCTATTTACAGGCAAAATCATACAACTGAACCAAGGAGCGACGGCTATCGAGACGAAGCTTGGATGGACGATTTTAGGCAGAAATTCAGAAGAAAGTAGTGACACAGACACTACGCTGATGGTCGTCTCCATGTTTTCTCAAGAGGCCAGCGTGTCAGATTTATGGAAACTAGACACGTTAGGAATTACTGACCCGATCGAGAGCATAAGTAAAGAGGCACGACAAGAAGAAATTAAGGCATTGCTTCAAGAGACAACAAAGATTACCGAAGAAGGACGTTTCGAAGTCATCTTACCCTGGAAGGATAATCATCCGCCCTTGCAAGATAACAGGGACATGGCTAAAAGAAGATTGAATGTCGTCACGAAGAAATTGAAACAAGAAAACTTATTCGACGATTACAATACAATCTTCAGCAACTGGCTCGAGGAGGGTACTATATTATAGGAAAAGTACCTGTGCATGAAGTTGACAGAGAGAGTTACTACCTTCCGCATCGATCAGTTGTCAAGAGAGAAGGAACCACTAGGATTCGACTCGTTTTCGATGCCTCGGCCAAGAAGAAGGAAACGCCGTCGCTCAACCAGTGTTTAGAAACGGGACCCAATCTTATTGAGCTTGTTCCAGCATTGCTGCATCGATTCAGAGAAAAGAGGATAGGAGTAACAGCAGATATTGCTAAAGCCTTTTTACAAATTAGCGTTTCTCCATCAGATAGAGATGTCCTAAGGTTTTTGTGGTGGGATACTAACGGCGAAATCGAGACTTATCGTCATCGTCGGGTTGTTTTCGGAATAACTAGCAGCCCTTTCCTTCTAGGAGCCACCATAAAATTACTCATTGAGAATACGTTAAATTCTACTGTTTCGACACACGAGAAATTAATTTACAAGAAATTGCTAAGATCCTTTTACGTTGACGATTGCATCACCAGTGTCGATTCTTACGAGGACTTCGAGATTTTTCAGAGAGAAGCAAGTTCCGTTTTGGATAAAGCAAGATTCGACTTAAGAGACTGGAAGTACACAGGCCTGAGATGCAAGACTCGATCGACAGTACTTGGACTAATATGGAATACTGAAGAGGATACTCTTTCGTTGTCGGGTTTCCCCCTACAACCCACCGCAGAAAGGATAACGAAGAAAATTGTTTTATCGCACGTGCAGAAGGTTTTTGACCCATTAGGAGTGATCTGTCCTGTGTTGATGAAAGCAAAACTACTGCTACAGCGCCTTTGGAGCGAAGGTTTAAATTGGGACGCGGAAATTGATCCGGATAGAAAAAAGGAGTTCTTGGATTGGGCGCAGCAACTGGATCTTCTCCGGATCTTGAGGTTCCCACGCTGGATTTTCGGTGAGATAAGAAATACAGATACATTGTCCCTGCATATGTTCGTAGATGCAAGCAAAGATGCATATGCCGCTGTTCTTTTCGTGCGTATCGAATCAGACACGGAAGTCAAGGTTCATCTGGTGGAAGCTAAATCGAGAATAGCACCCAAAAGCAAGAAAACGATACCGCGTCTCGAATTACTGGCTGCTTCCATTGGAGCGCGGATGATGCATTCTTTCGACAAGGCAATGGATTATCGAGATATTAAAAGATATTTTTGGAGCGATTCGACTACTGTTCTAGCATGGATACGACAGACAAAGCAATGGGCTGTATTCGTGTGGAATCGCGTTCAAGAAATAAGAAGTATCACAAATGTCGAGTCTTGGAGATATGTGCCGGGGGTTATGAATCCTGCGGATTTACCTTCACGAGGATGTGATGCCAAGAAATTACTCGAGTCAAGATGGTGGGAGGGGCCCGAATGGCTAAAGCTGCCCCCGGAAGAATGGCCGTCCAAAGAAGAAGAGATTAACGAAGAGATAGTCAATATCGAGCTGCGTAAAACTTCAAGTCGACTTAAAGAAGAGACTCCCCCTAAAGCTACGACAGAAGGAATCGCTATGATTGCTGGTGAAAAAGACGTCCCTTGGTACTTGGAAAGATTTTCAAGCTACGCGAAGATCTTACGAATGATAGCATGGGTGTTAAGATTTACTAATAATTCCCGAAGAATCCACGCATCAGTCGGAGGAGAGTTAAGCGCGAAAGAAATCAGTACAGCAGAATTACTCCTCTGTAAATTAGCTCAGAAAGAATCATTCATGGGAGTAAATGATCCACGGCTGCGAGGATTGAACGTCTTCGAAGAAAAGGGAATTATGCGTATTAAAACAGCAGTTTCTAATCGTCAAGACACTTTCTGTTTTAGATATCCTATAGTGTTGGATTCAAAGCACTTATCGACGAGAAGAGTTATCCTGTATACTCATTTGAAACTCAATCACGCTGGAACCGAGATTGTAATGAACAATCTACGGGAGAAGTTTTGGATTCTCCGGTACCGACGGACGGTGCGTTCCATCGTTCACAAGTGTACGGCTTGCCGTCGACACGCAGCGAGGAACATGGAAGCGCCATTTACACCGCTGCCAGAAAATAGAGTACGAGAGGCAGCAGCATTCGAGGTGGTAGGCATCGATTACGCAGGTCCTCTTTTCTTGAAGGAAGGATGTAAGGCCTACATCTGCTTGTTTACGTGCGCGGTCTACCGTGCAGTACATTTGGAACTGGTCACATCGTTATCAACGGAGGAATTTATAGAAGCCTTCAGAAGATTTATAGCCAGACGAGGAAGGCCTTCTGTAGTATATAGCGATAATGGCAGAAATTTCGTAGGATTAGCGAATTTACTACGAAAAATTAATTGGCAGAAAATTCAGCGATATTGCTCTCTTAGCCAAATCGAATGGAATTTCAATCCACCTTCAGCTGCTTGGTGGGGAGGATGGTGGGAGCGCCTCATCCGCATCCTCAAGGATTTGCTAAGGAGAACGCTGAGGAGAACTTCGTTGAGTTACGAAGAGATGAACACGGTCTTGTGCGACTGTGAAGCTGTTATGAATTCAAGACCGCTTACTTACATGACAGAAGAGAGTACTGAGACCATGGCAATCACTCCAGACATGTTCATTAGAGACGTCAAGGAAGCTGGCGTTCCCGATTTGGACCAGATCAGCAAGACAAACTTTGCAAAGCGGATCCGCTATCGCCAAAGTCTAAAGGAAGAATTGAGAAGGCGTTTTCGCATCCAGTATCTAGGACTATTATCCAGACGGACGAAATGCAAGAACAGTTTCACGCAGGTTGCAGTTGGCGACGTAGTACTAGTCGGAAACGACACCCAAAGACGTTTGGATTGGCCGCTGGCAATAGTCAAAGAAGTCTTTCCTGGAAAGGACGGACATACCAGAGTTGTGAGACTGAAAACGGAAAAGGGAGAATTAATTCGCCCAATACAAAGACTGATCCCGTTGGAGGTGGGTCATCACGCGGGAAAAGCTAGCAGAGTCCGTGAGTCAATCAAAGCTTCGCCTCAGGATGGAGAGAGTCCGGAGTCTGCCCCGCAGGAGAAGCAGGAGTCGGTCGTCGAGGAGAAGCCGGAGTCTGTTCCTACAGAAGAAACGGATCTAAGAACTCGGAGCGAATGACTTATTAAGAAGCCAGAACGATTTGAAGCCTAGCTTTATTTTTCATTTTTTATTTACTTTGCCTTTTAAGATAGGTTGAGTTGCACCCAGATCGTGAGGATGCAACTCAAGGTGGGAGAGATGTGGAATGCGCGGTTCGCGCCCAAGAGACACGCGTAACCCGCGTGCAAGGCATCGCGGGAGCGTTTCCGCTCACGTGGGGATGTAGAATGTGCGGTTCGCGCCCAAGAGACACGCGTAACCCGCGTGCAAGGCATCGCGGGAGCGTTTCCGTTCACGTGTTCGGCCGTTAGCTTTAGTCTTTGTTTCCCCCGTTCGCGCTCATTGTGCCGTGCGCCGCGATACGCGAACAAAGCGAGACTAGACGAGGTTATAGTTTGTAGTGAGAGTCAGTGGATTGCGTTGTCGAACAAAGGGCGTGCATATTCACCGAACAGTATTTGAGTGTCTTATTCTTCTTCCTGCGATCCATCAATTTGGCGCAACAACACAATATATTACCTCGTCGTTGACTGGTAATATATTGGTTATTTCATGCTCTGAACTCGTGAGCAACGCTGCCAAACGATCGTATTTTTTTTTACGATCTCTGTATTAGGCAGATTAATTCGTTGGCCGAATTTACCCCAGAAAGAATTCAAGCAGAGCTATGCGACCGAACGTTAACCAGGATTTCGGACAATATTATTTTTATCCAGAACAATATCTTCGGTTTTTTACTGTTCCCGAAGATACTGTTTCTTACTCTCCAGGCATTCGCTCGGCCATTCGCTAGCTTCCTGCTTTAATTTCAAAAAACTGTTGATATATTCGGCAAACAAACCACCCTGCCTCGTACGAGGATCGAACCGCGCGACTCTAAACTGCCATATTTCGCTCATATTCGTTACGAGATAATCTTTCTCGAGAGCCTTGCGCAATTCGCAGGATATCCACACTCCTACGAATTCACGATCGGCAAGGAGATCGTGAGTGCACTCGGCCTGCGAAAACGTTTCGCAGTAACTACGGCACAGCCCGAACAACAATTTACCTTGTACGCGGTACAGGATAAAAAAGATCGCGTGGATGAAGTACCGAATGATACTCTCAACACAATCGAAATTAAAGTTCGGAGCTGCGCCAATCAATTCCGAACACTGTTCTCCGATATAAATCGTTGACTGGCCTAACGGAAAAGTACTTTAAAAGTACCTTTTTAATACGTACGGATACAGAGAACACACGTCTACGTAGCGTATTTTCCCCGTACCTGTAACTTCGTATCGAGTTACGATATTTTCCGTACGACCGCCAAAGAACGCCTCGCGAGGGTCAAGAGAAGAGTTGATCAGTATCGGATATGGCTTTCGAGAAAAGCGCGCATCTCGTGATTTTCGCGCTTTTCTCGTGAAAATTCGCACTCCCATTTCTCTATCACCCTATATCCTCATTGTCTAATGTCGCCCTGTCATTGCGAGTATCGTGCGTCGATTGTATCTTCGCACGACACTCCGGACGTAAGTTTTCTTTCGCGATTGATTTGATAACAGCTGGGACAACCGTGCCAAAAACAACCGTGAAATTGTAACACGTAACGCGACGTCTCGTTCGCTGATTCGACTTCGTAATATCCGTCGACGAGTGTACCGGCAATTCGATACTCGCGGCCTCGCCCTGCATGGATTATAGGATGTCCGAGCTCGCGCTCCATCCACACTAACCACTGCAAGGCTTTGTGCGAGTGATTATCTTTATATCTATATCCGCCCGGTGGAATGATTCCTATTTCTTCCTTACGTAAAAAGTTTTTACGAAAAACTTTCATACATGTGGAAGCGATAGTCGTTCTACGAATGGACACACATCTCCGCGTTCTAAAAAGATTTTTCTGAACGCTATGCACGCACGTCGAAGGATATCTACGTCATTCTGGCAATATTTTACTATTTCCTGTTTAAAATTAAAATCGAAATTCGAACGTGACATTTCCTCGTGCCGAACCATAAAATGCTCGTGTTCCTCGGGTTTCATTTGTTCGGGCGAATAATATTGGACCGTCTGGTATTGGACCAATATAATTTTGATTTTTCAACGTATTAAACAAATGAGGAAAAAAACCTTTACCCTGCAGAGTATCCTGCAGCCCGAAAGCCTTGGGTAACTCCGATAATTTCAATGATGTACTTTAAAATAAATTGAGCGTCAAGTGCTTTAGCATTATGCGCGATACAGATAATTTTTTAAAAATATTTAGACGAGCGCGTCGCGAAATCGACAAACTCTTTTACGGAGTCTCTATTCAATACGAATTCGCGCACTCCACACCGACATCGCAATGACATGGTCTCTATTCCCGCGCACGCTTCGCAAATTTGTTGCGCGGAGAGTTGGAATGTGAATTCTTACGTTCTCCGTTCCTTCGAGCGTTTCGTCTTGTCGCGTTTTGAAATCATAAAACACGAATGCGACGCGATCTCTTTTAACACGCTCGTCCGTGTCTTCGACGTCATTCGTATTTGTTTGCGGATTTTCTTCTCGCAATGCCATAGTACTTGTACCTTCTCTAGGATTTTCTACTGTGGCTTTAAGACAAAAAGGCCGCATGTAACACAAATGATTCGAAGACTATAACAAACGACACGTTTTGTAATAAATTACGTCGAAATCGTGTCGCGATTTTGAATTAATCAATCGCCCACAACCGTTCCAAATTTTAATGGATTCGCAAACGCTTGAGAGGGATTGATTATACGATTCCTGCGATCGATGACGATCGAAACACGGACGCCTGAAGAAGACGCGAGCGCACGAATCGCACTTAATCATCTCAGCGTCGGGGAGCTCGCAAGACGGGGTGGAGTAGCAACGTGGGCATTTTTTTGTCGTCGTCGTCGTCGTCGTCGTCGTCGTCGTCATCTAAAACAAAATTTATTTTATTCTTTATCGCATATTACATCTATATTATACGAACTAGATTTCTCGGTTATTTGCGAAATACCTACCGATTACAATAACGGGGACGTCATGCGGAGGCGGAATATTATTTTCCTCTTCGATTCGTGCTCTTCTTAGAAAAAAAAAATATTTTAACATTCGAAATTTCTATAATCGTTTAGTTAATATTTATTTCTCTAAAACTTACTCGCTGGTACTCCCTCCTCTTCTTCTCCTGGGCGGCGACGTCTCCTTGAATCGAATTATCCTACTGGCCGACCCCTGCGATGCCGTATCGCACGTCCCACAATACTGCTGGCTTCTATGAAATAAATATTATAATTTAATTATAATATTTATTAATTATAAAGTCAGCTTTTATTTCTAATACATATTAAATTCTATTTTAAGAATTATTATTGCTTACCTTTTAGTCTAATGCGTCGCTTGAAGTCAGCTATGTGACTTCTAGCGTCATCCTTCTCGTAACCAAAGCACTCACTTATTTCGAGATGACGTGCGATTATATTTTTCAATCTCTCGTCAGCAATGCCCCAGTTTGTGCATAACACGTACTAGTGTACTGGAACACTTACCAACAAAATTCCCGAAAACGGAATAATTTTTTTTCATCGTTATCTGACAACTTTGTCAGATAATCGCCAGCAACTAATTTTTTATTTAAGTTGCTAGCTACGATGAAAAGTATTAGTCCCTAGTAACCCGCGAAGTTTCATTTTTAAGCAAAATTAAAAGCACGCAAATAGTAAAATTCACTTCGGAGTTTGAACGTAGGACTAAACTTTAGCTCGATCAGGGCGTGTTATTTATGCCCGTAGCGATATTCATAAAAATTCCTCTCCCACGAAAAGATTCGCTAAAAATTCCTAGTCCCTTCATAGGCCGATAGATTTTTGACGATTTTGGTAATCGACCGCCTCCTTTACTAGAAGTGATTTTCTCTTAAAATTTAGAGAAGCGGGGATGACAAAAACTTCTAAGTTATGATCATCCCTATACTCGATCTAACACCTTTTCTGACCCCATACAAATTATCTCGAAAAGCATCACCCCCTTCGCCCTAACCTTTAGCTCTCGTTTCCATTATTACCCAGAAAAGTTTGGCCTCGCTTTACAATTTTTATTATTACGATGAATCTCACGTTTTAAATTTTTCCTTCTGCTTTTTGTATCTTCTTACTGGAAAGAATTCTCACGCAATATTAGTCTACGACTGATAAACATTAAACCTTTCAACAAAAAATACAATTTTAATGGAAATTTCTGTATCTCGCTTGACCGACAATATCAGTTGGTTTTGTTTGTTTTCTCTTCTTCAGGGTATCGTCATGAGGAAAAATCATGGCGAACATTGAACATAACTCCCCTGTTTAAAACTTTTTTCACGTTTATCAATAAAACTAATATTTAATTTTTGTATCCTATAAATTTCCGTACCTTATAATTTGTATCCTATAAATTTGTATCCTATAAATATGCTACACGTTATTTTTTCTCACGCGAGTATACACAAAAGTTTCAGAAAAGAGGAAGACGAATAAATTTCCTACATTACTCCAATTGAATTCAACATTTTTGTGCCGTACCTCTGTCACTTTAAATTAATGAATTTTCTACAAGCAATAAAACAAATCGTAAATTTACTTTAAAGCGAAGACGTTTCATAAATTTCTTCTAGTCTTTTTAGAAGAAACTCGTGGGTTATCGTTATACTAAATCTTATTCGTTAGAAACTATCCCACGAGCTAAACCCCCCCATTCTTTTTTCCTTTATAGCGAAAAATTTTCATTCTTTTTACCTGGTCAAATTCCTTCCTCCCCTGTCATGACGTAGAAAACTAGGAGAGGAATCGTAAAACCTTCCGTTTCGCGTCTGTTCATTCCTGTTCGTTCTCGTTTTATTTTGTTTTCACCCCCTCTCCTGATTTCTACAGGGTAAATATTATTTTAAATTTTTAAGAAAAATTTAAAGAAAGTTTATGTTTTTATTTCTTTCATCTGCGTGCGCAGAATAATTTTATTACGCAGCATCGGAGAGGGCGGTGATGTCGACGGTGCTAACG